GTAATTGTAATGTATGTAAATACTTTATCTTGACATAATAATAGTATATTTTACTTTATTCGTTGATATTTCTATGTATTATACTTTAAACATTGGATTTGCCCCCATACCTACCATTTATTCCAAAATGAATGATATTCCTTCTGTGTCTGTTGATTATGAATTTTGTTTCACCAATCTTCGTATATAATATTTATATCCAAATATTATTGAAATATTATTCTCTCTATATTCTTAGATCCGGTATTGTCAAACTTCAACTGTAAAAGAACACTATTATTTTGTTCCGAGATATTTATAATGTAGGATCAGTCCAAATATTTGGAAATGTGAAACAGGTTAAACTCTTTCATTTTGGCCTGACACCTTAAAAATAAGTCATATAAATTTACAATACTGACCGTGTGTACTGGACGAGTCCACTTTCCTGAAGCGAGCAAATGAAATATGTCTTAAATATTAAATTGTGAATTAAGATTATTTTAACGTGTCTAGGCAGAGGTTATAAGAGAATTTAAAAGATAATAGACAGGGCTGATCTCCTGGTCATAACATCCTGTTGCACATGTGCAGAGAAGCTTTATCTGATCAAACTAAAATCAATAAAGTACTTACCAGAGCAATAATCTGAAGGTTTGAAATGCATCCTATGTCTAATTCCTACTTGTAAATCAGAGTATATTAATATCAATGATATGTTTAATCAGTGATAATCGTATACTTATATTCTGTCACGAATTCTAGTGAAATCATGACTTGACCCTCTGAGTTTTATTCATTCTACTACATGTATCTGCTATAACTAAGCGTTACTACAATACTTATGAACTAGGCTATTGTATACAGTATCGATATGTAAAAATTGCCAGGAAATCGATATGGGTTAAACCTTGGACACACTTCAATTTAAGCTGAAACGAGCTGGAACTCGAAATTTTCCGATTGGCATCGTTAGTAATTTAGCATTTAATGTTGTAACAGATAAGTTAATCTGTCTTTATATATACTGGGACTGCTTAACGGCCGTTTCGAACTTGGTAATCGAAGTTGGGTTTATGAGTTTGATTATTCCTTTTTTACGACTTACAGCTGTCAACCTTCTCATCAAATTGCTAGGATTGTACCGTAAGTGCGGGCTGAAGCTAGATTATAAATTCATGATAAACCATCCATCAATGTTAATGAGACATTTATTGCCCATTAACCCATGTTATTAAACCCATAGAGGCTAATAAGTACCGGGTCACGTGGCTTATAAATTGACCAATCACAGCGAGGTCACGTGATTAAAATTGACCAATCAGAGCGCTTATATCTAACTTCCGATTTAAAACCTGCCCAGGTTGATTATAAAGATGCCTCACTTCCGCTATGATGTCACCCTCTTGCCCAGACAGATTCAAAATGGCTGAACATCCGCTATGATGTCATCAACTTGCCCAGACAGAATTCGAAATGGCTGACTTCCTGCCAGGAGATTCGAAATGACTGACTTCCGGTTTAAATGGCTGACTTCCGGTCAAAATGGCTGACTTCCTGTCAAAATGGCTGACTTCCGGTTTTAGATGACCAGCCTAGTGACCAGCCTGGGCTGATGGGACAAATTTTCCTACTACTAGTATAAGTTCAATGAACTTAAAAAATTGTATATACCCGTAGATGATAAACATATACATATTGATCTCCGTATAAAGCTTTACCTACACGTGTGTGGAACAATTGACCGCAAGCATTTTTAAAAATTAATTGGCTGAGTAGGAACAGTATCCAATCAAATACTTTAACCATCAATTTGAAACACCAATCAAACCAGTAGGTTCTAGCAATTTCTGGGAACGACCCATTCAGTAGCTCAACAAATGACATACAGGGTGTTTCATAACGAGCATCTCCAAAAAGTCAATTTTAGAAGAGATGGGTCTATATGTATGTACTATATATGAGCCTATTTTATTCTAGACAAACACATTTGGATCAACTTAACTACCCTGCGTGCAGAGTCTAGTTAAACTATGAAGACGAAGCTCTCTTTTAAGAAGTGAAGTCAAACGAATGCAAAGGGTACAACTTAACATGCAACAATTCAAGAAAGTACAAATGGCATCCTTTTGACCTTTATTTATTACAGTCCGAGAAGATCTTTCCTGACGAAAAGCCCACATTATGAAACACCTTGTACGTTTTCTTATAAGTATAAGTATACGTTATAAGTTGTATTTTATGTATGTGCGAATTCTCTCTATTCTGTCGAATAAACGTATAGTCCATGGTATGACTTCCGAATATGAAGGATCCGTAGCACACTATAGCGCAGCAACATTTGAAGAAATATTTATGAAGGTGTACATGTCTTGATTCTTTTAAAATACCATTTGCTGAAAAAACTTCCGGCTTTCGGGTCGAAAAATGTCTTTCGTCACAAGGGGTCAAAAAACGTAAATATTTTGATTCGAACTTTTATACATTTTATAAGAAACAGAGCGTTATGCTAAGCATATGACCAAAAATAAATTATCATAATTTAAAGATATACTATCTTATTTTACCGTAGATGTCGGTGTTTAATTAGTGTAATTATGCAAGTGTGTTTTTCAGATTTTGTTTGATTTCTCAAATATGAGCCAAGCCGATTCATCAAAATTATGTGGAATATTTAGGTAATTTATGATCGGGAACACATTAATTTTCTTACCATTTAAAAAATTTTATTACCAGAATTTTTCCATATAATCGCAAGGGGTCTAACGACAAATTATTGTTCATGTTTTACAAAACATAATACAATAACAAATAGGTAAGATTTATATCTAATTAAATGTTGCAGAGGTATTGGAATGTTCATATATTCCAAGGGCATGTCTGATAATCAATTAGAGTCATATGCAATCGAACGCCTTGAAATTCTTCCTCGACGTTACTTGGGGCTATCATCAAGTTTTCTGATGGCTGTTTGTTCTTCGACCTTAGCGCTGGATACAATCAAATTTTAGGAAGATAATGATAACGATTTTTCTCAATTATTCCTGAATTCGATCAAGTCTTGATGGTTGTTTTATAAGCAACTGAGCTATATCTAACTACGGTAAATGGAATTTTAGCTGTAGTCCCAATTAGTCAAGGAAGAGCAATAGGCCCGCCTTTATTGATAGTTTTCACCGCTGAATAAAAGTCTATATCTCAAAACGTATTGAGACCCCTTTTGTGAAAAACTAGCATAATTTAAACATTTGTCATTCCAATATAAAAGTGATTCATTTGTAGCATTTATCTTATTGATACCTGAGAAACAATACAAAACGTCGATACACTGATTACATATTTTTTGGTATTGATAAGAAAAATAACCTCAAGCTTAAAGCTTACAGTTAGAAACCTAAATCATATACTTAAAATAATTTTGTATTATTTTCTGTTGCATAGTGTACTCCAAATTGTAAAAAATTGGGATTTTATTTTTTGGTGATTTTTTGACCTCTGTTAATGTCAGGCATAATTCAGCCTAAAAGCCGGAAGTATATTCAACAGTTATAATAAAAATTATTAGGGGACATATACAGGTATGTTAATGTAAGGTCCAATATCGCTGCGCTATAGTGTGCTACCAACTCTTTTATTAGACGTCCTAGAGATTTCATACCATGGACTATTAAGGGACACACAAAATCCAGTTTGGTAAAATATCAAAACGTATCATTCAAATCTCCCATGAAAACGAATCATGAAAACGACGTAGGGGGGTTCGCTAATATTTCATTTATGAAAAAATTTAAAATATTACCATCATAAAAACTAAAGTATACATAAGATATAGGGCCAAGTTAATATTGTCCACGTTGTTCTTTAATTTACAATGAATGAGCAGTGGGTTTATGATAAAAAAGCAGTTATATTCACGGTAGCCTACATTTAAATAACGTCCCTTGACTATGCTTTCTGGATATGATTTAGTGAAGCTGTTAAGCTATTTGCACCTTCTCTTCAATATGAAGAGCTAAATAAACAGATAAATTGTAGCCGGTGTCCATCAGGGATGAGTATTGAGCTCGTTGTGGAAAGTGCACAGTAAGAACAGACAATGTTAATCCAATGGGCAATTGTACTAATTAGAACTTATATATTTTTCAATCCAAGATTTCAGAAAATCAACCAAGTATATCATGTTAAAGAACAAAATGTCCCATATATACCAGTGATAAAAATTTGAAAAATATTTACTCATGGAGTTCTGACCTGCTGTTCCCGCCATCTTTTCAAATTTATTAGAAATTGGCGTATGAATCTGGTCAACAAGTACATGTCACAATATTCCAATATTCTTAAAACGTTTGCTTTAGTTTTGTCCATGTACAAAAACCGTGCGAGGGTATTTTTGATTGTTAGGCGTATAATGTTCATTCATTTTATAATTCGTGTCTCAGAAAATTCAAAATGTCGACCAATAGCTAACACTTAAATTGACGGGAATTTTGAGATATCTGCAATAACAATTATTTATGTACTAAAGGTAAATATAAGGACTATATGGTTAAACATTTTTGTGATTGCAGATTAACGAAATGACTCAGTTTTGGTAATATTTTTAATGCCATAGCAATGAGAGCATAATCACTTTTGGCCTAATACCCGGGGTCTCATGTGAAAAATATGTGGGCGTTCTTAAAAATTAAGAAAACACATATAAATATAATCATATAGTTTATGTATTACAATCATGAATAATATCTTTAAAACTTGGATCGTCTGTGTAAAAGTATAATGAAAATAAATACATGATTTGCTCTGAATGAATGATTCCTCACCTGGATTAAAACTTTAACACCTGTGAAGATCGACCCTGAGCCCGGAGTTTCCGTGATTTTGGATTGTAGAAAAATAAAGAACATCTTATTCCACTGATTTTGGTAACCTAGCATAATCTTCCGATTTATACGGATCATACCAAAATTAAAGCAATATTATTAACATAAATGCGCTTTCTTGATTACTTGGTTTATACTTACTAAATTTTCCATATGGTAAACGCTAAATTCCATTGATACAACCACCGGTGTAGAAGCATTTGGTTTTGGAGCGACGTCCGAAACGTAATTCTCAAATATTCTTTTATAGAGTCTCTCGTCATTTTCCAAAGCTGATGTAACTGGAAATGCACAAAAGTTGTATTCAAGTGTGTATTTTAACTATTCAGATTATACGAGAAGTGCATTATTTTATTTTTGATTATTTTTAATAAATATATCTTTTTAAATTTAAATTTAGATTATTTACATAACAACAATAACGCTATTTACCTGCAACCAGCAAAAGAAGAAAAAACAATCTCAACATCGTCCTAAGCGAGCTCCACACCAGTATACTATTAAATCATTTATTTCTACAATCTCTGATTTTCATTTCAATAAAACCTATTACTCTGAAGCACTCATACCGATTTCGTTACGTGTGACATTTTTCATTTCGATAAACTCGATTTAAACTTTTTGTTATTAACCATTGACTCAATATTTTCCATTTACTTTACTGCTTTTTATAATAAAAACAAGGTTTATGACTAATGATTGAGATACAATAATTGCGTAGTTTTGCACTTAGCATTAATAATTTATTCACGAGAACAATTGACGCGTTCATCGATTCACATTGTATCTCTAACCTGAATTCATTTGGGGATTCACCTCCTATGTGTTACAAAAATATAGATCGAGTGCTTTTGGATTTAACTTTCTGCCAATAAAGAGAACGCATTGATAAATCGAATATATTATGATGCACCTTGCTATACTACACACCTAAAGCAGGTAAGATATGAAGGGGCCACTTCCGTTTGCGAAAATGGATTAGAAATTCGAACATGACTGTATTCACGCCTTCTATAAACTGTAAACAAAGTCAATGCTTCAGCTGGGTTATATTCGAGATCAATAACCCAGTTAATACGTGTAATGTGTGACGTCATAACGATGGGTCGTAGTAATGGCGGACCATGATGAATATTCGAAACAATTTGGTGAGTTTTCATGTTCGAATCGTAATATAGACCTCAGATCAGGGGTAATATCGTCAAATACACCCCTCGCTAGGCACAAAAGCTTTCGAACCCCTCACTCCCTTCGGTCGTTCGTGGTACAGAAAACGTTTGACCCCTGCTTTTCGGTCTATATTTCTTAATTAATCTCGGGGACAATGCAAAAGTATTTAATGAATCGCCAAAATAATGGCAACATTGTGATACAAACCACCTGATTAGCCTGTTACTGATTTATACAAACTCACCGTGATCCTTGCTATTATGTAATTACCGATTTTAGAACTAGAGGATACTATTAGAGGGGGGCGTATACGTTTGTCGCAGGTATATTGCCATGATATATAATAAGAGTATTTTGGACTTGATGAATTCATTATTTTCAAATTCAATTCAAAAAGGTTTGCCAATTATGGGAACGGCTTTGTGGATGGACGTTGACATCTGCTATGGAGTTCGAGATTTTGTCCCACATCCCACATCATTTGAGGATGGATGCTCTATCTTTTATGAATACTGTCTACAACCCAAACATTATTTTTCTTCACCTTGGATTATGTAGGGGGGTAGTTGGGGTTTGTTTTCCTTATGACTGGTGTACCTTTTGAGTTTTATTTTCCTTTCTGCATTGTGTAATACTTTTTGTATTTTCCCGTCGGCACTTGCGCACAAATATTTAGCTAAAAACGAGTCTATAAAGAGAAATGCCATCTATTTCTCTGTATCGGACATATCGTACAAAAAGTAAATTAGTTTTACCATTCTAGTATTTATAGATGTCAACACCCAGTGTTCTACAAAATTATTTATTTGATAGGTAAGCTTTCTCCTGGTATATCCCTCTCTATTTTTGACTGTATCATTACTAATCATTCATAAAAAATTCACTAAAATTCAGTATGTACACAAATACATATATATTATCATGCATGTATTTACCTTATTTAGTCTTATTCCTCTTTTGTGATACTACCTTGATCTGTTTGGTTTTGGTTAATAAACAATATGGTCGAAGATTCGTTTTGGACGTAAATAATATTATTTAATTCACAAGTTTGGAGTATAAAACTGGCCATTCTAGGCGACATCTACGTTTCGCCTAGCGCCCTACCAGATATTCGAGGTAGGGTATGTCATAATCCTTGAATTATCCGAGAGTCATGTTTGTATTTTTAGTATCCCAAGAATTCATTGGAGGCAAATATGATACCTCCCTGTTTCTATAAGAAGATTATGATTTGAGGTTTTTAGTTTTGTTATATATAATCTAGTGCTTATTGGTTGACAAAAATAGTGTTCAAAAATAAATTTATTTTAAATGCAATATGTGCAATATGAAGTTTTAGATTTATTTTAGGGTGTAGTTGCTTAAAAGAGGGACATGGGGTATAAATAGGAGGCAGACTAATGGAACAGCCAAAATAACTGGATTTTTGATATTTTCATAAAGCTGGTCAATTTTCTCAGATTTCATATTGATTGAGAAAATGTAAATACATTTTAATATATGTATCTTAACGCTTTCAATGTTTTGATGTTCATATTCTGCAGTTAGATTTGAACTTCATCATTTTGTTGGGTTGTAATAAGACATTTAAAAACAGAAATATATATTTTTAAAATTTAACAGTCCTCAAGCTTAGCCAATCAAAATCAAGTATTCAGCAATGCTGTTAATTAAACTAATTAATCCTGACTTTCAGTGCGATGTTAAAGTGTGGCTGTAACCTGATATTTTAATGGGAGTTGTATGTATTTGCAAAATTTGAGGTGTAAGACTTCACAATTTTTATAGCAATTCGAAAATCCCCATATCTCACAGCCATAACACAAAATAGGTAATATTAACGTATCAAACAATTATTATTGAACATCAATTGGTAAATTCATTTCTGTACACTTTCCTAATACTCCATACATGGCATTTTCAGCTTGTTTCTTCAACGGATCAAAATAACTGAAAATAAAACTCCTGAATACTTAAAGTGTCATTAATTTCAACATTTTCTCCGTTGTATGTAAATCTAAATAAACGCCTGGGTTTTCTTTTTGAGAAAATACTAACTATTTTGTCTTTTTTGTGTCAACAGACAAGTTGTTGAAATCATAATATGACGTAAGACCATTTAGTTCTCTCTGTAGCCCATCACTTGTGTCTGACTAAATAATTGTGTCATCCGCATACACGAGTATAAAAACGTTACAAAAGTATTCAATGTCGTGACCTAAGTTTAAATAGCTACATTTATGACTATTCAAAAGGTAATCCTCCATGTCATTTACAAAGAGTGAAAAAAACATTTGTGAAAATACAAGATTTGGCTTTGACATATTTTTGATACAGTTTAACATCTTTCCACTAATACCACATTTAAACAATTTTTCCATAATACCACTTTGCTTATTTTATCAAAACATTGTTTGAAATCTACAAATGCTACAAATAATTTATTTTTATTTACCTTTACATTACATTCTATCTACTCTCTTGTGTACATTTACATTTTAACCTCTTGCTGTTTTCTCTTGTACACTCCTACATTGTATAGCATTCTCCGTAAGTGTGAATAAATTATCTTTACGTCCGATACCACTATAAGCAACGCAGCAATGAGCAACAACAACATAGCGAAAGCGCCAATTGCCTTTGCACTGACACGCTTGTCAGAATCTGTAAACTGCTCTTCAACAATAATAATTGTATCTGTTTTGATGGCATTGGTTTTCTCAATTTCTTTTTTGAAATATACGACATCATAAAAGGCAACATTGGAAAAGCTTGATGTAATTGGGATTGTTACAGGGGAGTTTGTAGAGGTGTACAATGTAGTTTGAGGCGGAGGCGTTATTGTTTCAAACGTTGTTACAATGGTTGTCTCAATAGTTGTTTCTTTGGATGTGCCAATAGTTTTCCCTACACTTGGTGTTGTTTCAAATGTTGTATCAACAGTTGTATTAGCAGTTGTTTCAAATGTTGTATCAACAGTTGTTTCAAATGTTGTATCAACAGTTGTTTCAAATGTTGTATCAACAGTTGTTTCAAATGTTGTATCAACAGTTGTTTCAAATGTTGTATCAACAGTTGTTTCAAATGTTGTATCAACAGTTGTTTCAAATGTTGTATCAACAGTTGTTTCAACAGTTGTATCAGCAGTTGTGGCAACGGTCGTCTCAACTATTGTTTCTATATTTGTATCAACGGTTGTTTCTATGGTTGTATCAATGGTTGTTTCTATGGTTGTATCAATGGTTGTTTCTATGGTTGTATCAATGGTTGTTTCTACAGATGTCTCAACAGTTGTGGGAAGTGTGGTTGTTGGAATTGGATCACACGTGACGCCCATGTCACTACTATGACCACAAGAGGCTGTATAAGGCGGACATCGTGGACCCCATTTACTACACTGCATAATATTTTGTTCTGTGCCATCACAATTGATATTGTCATACCATATCATTGGGTCACCAGCTTGTGACCCCGCTGTATATGCGACAGCACCATTCGAGCCCAGTCCAAGTTGATTACATACAACCGTGGCTTCTTCTGCACCCCAAGGCGTGCTACTACAAGCAGTTCCCCATACTCCATTGTGAAGAAGTTGAACTTTCCCGGAATATGCATTTCCACCAACCAAACGAATCATATCAGCATCAGATTCTACAAATTTAATGATTAAATTCAAATGATGTGGATTTGATAAAATAACATAAACAGCAATTTGAATTGCAAATAGTTAAAAAGGAGATGAAATATATAAGACGTTCCAAAACTTTACATTTTATTTTTATTTTTCAACAATATTTTAGTGTGGTTTGCAGCAAACAATTACGCAATCGATCCTCAAATGGCTGAGTTAGTCTTAAGTGGTCTTGGAAATGTTGACAGACAATAGTAATGAAAATTCTCTGTTTAAATAATTTGACACTTCGAGTTTACAGAGGTTTTATTTATTTCTCATAAAATATATCGGAACCAAATGGACGTCTTAATCAGTCTCAGTCAAAACAGACGCATTATGTTTACACTGTTGTAATATTTCTCTTGAAAATTTGAGAATTGAGCATCTAGAAAATTAGAACTGGTTTAAATGATTGAGCCTGGTGCTCTATTTTTGAAAGATTAGCAAAGAAGTATACCAAGTCATATAAACATTAAAACAAAAAGTTTTATAAGCTATGGACTAAATCAAGCCAGATTTGAGCAAGAAAAATCAACCTTGTTGATTTTTTTTCCACATATAAGATCTCATTTAGTTTTTATTACAAAGGCAGATTCCCCCATTTCAAATTTTGAAGGTTCCAAACTACAATGCACTGTAAATTATATCAAAATGAATGTCTCCGTGGAGTTTGAGTTCACATTTTAATAATAAAATAAAGTTGGGGCAATTTTGTTTATGGTTTGTTTATTTTTATGATACGTAGTGAATAATTCCTGTGTGCAAAATATAAAATAATCTGCTTGGTTTAAACTCACATGTACCATGTTTTACTCGTCCTTTTTTCCGTTCCATGGAATTTTTATTTCCTTGGAACAAAAATAGTTCCGATAAAAACGGCGAACCGAATGCATAATTTACAGGTAAAATCATATCAAGATTTTAGAGTTCTTTTGCCTATAAAAGCAAAACTTTTGTTTCTTTTGCGCATTCTATCCTTGATAAGAGCCCAAGGTGTCTATAGGCAATATGTTTCGGAAGGAATGGGTCATTTAGCTTGAAAACCGAGGGCTTGTTCATTACGGGTTCACAATGTAATGATGTTTTCCTGAAAGCAAGGAATGCCTTCATACTTTATTTTATACCAGAAAAAAAAGTTTTTCTTCCACCATAACGTTAAGGGCATCGAGCTAAATATTGCTATATCCAATAAAATACCTGTAGGGGTACAATCAACACCAGCGTCTTCGTTGTGGCCGCATCCAGCTGACGATCCCCATGTGTAATGCGGGCACATATCAAGTGCATCCTCTGACCCTGTACACAACAATCGACTCAATTGGATGACTCCAGATGCGCTGCCGTATTTGGAACATGGATGCGCGACGGGATTGATTGGTGGTATGTTTAATGAATTACATACAACAAGTGCGTCTCGAACGTCCCATTTATCATCACAAACAGTACCCCATGTTCCGGAATAGAATACCTCTACACGGCCTGAAGTCCCATCCGCGCGTCCGTCTACTAAACGATAACTTTGACTCTCTACGCCCACAATAAAGCAAACGAAAATGTGTATATATAAGTGATTGTGAACATGGTAAATCATCATTCCATAGGATAACTTCTATGTAGCGAATTGACTACTGATGAAACCGCATCTCTTGTCATCTGTTGATGATCTAAATGGTTTTTGAAGTGCTAATATGACGTCAATGATTAGCTCTATTTGCTTATTGATGCAGGGTGTGTCATGACCATATTTGGAATCAGATAGTATCAGGTTATATAAAATTGTTCAATATACCAATATCACTTCATTACCCTACCTATTTAATTGTTTGTTTCCGAGAAAGGTTAGAATATAGGAACCGAAGTTATTGATGATCGTATTGTTGCAAACGTACTTTATCCGTTGAATATGGGCGCATGCGCAACATTTTATCACCTACCAAGAATAGAAAACACATTCATACCCATCATTCAGATAAGGAAATGAGACAAATAATCAATATAAAATACTGGAAATTACGTTTCTTACTATACCTTGTTCTCTAATTAAATTACGATTCATACAATGTACTCAGAGGAACATATTACTCAATTTTAAACATAGCCCTTAATTTTACACGTCATTAAAACGTTTGAAACTAAAATAGTACGGTATGTACAGTAGTATAACACAATTGTTTGCATTTAAGCAATACTCATCTACAAAATTATAAAGTGAATGACATAAAGGGAAATTGATACATGTATTTGATAACAAATAAAATATACCAGAGCAATGCAAGAGGATTATATTTGTGCCGACACAACCCGTACAAGCTAAGGTCGGCTAGCAGGGAGTACTAGGGAGTACACAAGGTACTTTACAAATTACGCCATGACCTTACTGGTCCTCATTACTTCAGAGAATTAGAACCCTTAAGAAAATTCTTCTAGTTCATGTCATGTGTGACCCTAAATAAGCCAATGAGCCTCCATAATACATATGGGGTATATATCATGTGACCATAAATAAGCCAATGAGCGTCCATAATACATATGGGGTATATATCATGTGACCATAAATAAGCCAATGAGCGTCCATAATACATATGGGGTATATATCATGTGACCATAAATAAGCCAATAAGCGTCCATAATACATATGGGGTATATATCATGTGACCAAAAATAAGCCAATAAGCATTTGTAATACTATGGGTATATTATATTTACATTATTATAATCATAATGACTGGTCGAAATATGGATTGCCAGTAAGTAAATTATTTACTGTAAATACATATGGGGTACCTCAAGATTCCATATAAAGTTTATTTTTTTTATAGATATTCTGCCATGGCAGCTATTTGTGCTTAGAATGGGACTTTACTCGTTATATCTTCAACGACCATAAGTCTTACTGATTTTGATAGCCATAAATTGAGGGGAGGACATTATTATGTAAGTTAGATTGTTTGGGTTGCGCGTGTTTTCATTATACTATTTTCTTAAATGTTCCTTCTCAATGGGTTTTAGATTTAATATCTTTTGGTCTTCCGGCATTTGTGCTTTCCTGCATATATAGTAAGTCTACTTAAATTGATTCCATGAATTTAACCAGATGTAGCATTTCTAAGTCATTCAGTACATACAATGAGTCAATGACCGAATAAACGGCAAGTGACGATAAACAGACATGACCTTAAATTGAGATGATTGTTTTTAAATCTTTAAAATTGAGCTCTTCTAAAAATTTACTAAGTCTCCGCATACATGTTGCGATGTACTTTTATATTTCAAAACGTTTTAAAATTAAGTTATATTCTGTGGACTAAAGATATAGTATAGTTTTGTATTATACAACAATCAGATATTGATTCTGAACTAATATTCCAGTAAATACCCTTTATGTACTACCTTTAAAGATCAATGCCATGGATATAGTAATCGAGTGCCAGGAACATTCCGAGAGGGCATTGGACATGGTGTATCGATAAGGCTATACTTAAAGGTTATCTGTTTTATAAGAAGAACGTTTCGATGATTGATTCGATTGTACTGAAATCAGAATATCAATAGAAATAACATAAATGTACTCTCAATAATTTGACTTTCTTGTAAATAAATGATGAAGGAATTGAAAACAGCTTTTAACTACTTAATTGATGCTCAATTCCTTTGTCATATATTTTGTAATCAAACATAATTTCTCCATCAGCGTAACTTTAAAGACAGATTACGCAGACATTTACTTGATTGTTCCCTTGATGTACTTTATATATCGTTAATGTCAAAGGTAAGGAGTGATTCATTGTCTTGAATGGTTTGCTCGACCTGTTTAAAGTTTGAGATCTTTGAGCCTAGTCCTCGGGGACTTTGTTTAACAAGTTTTGGTAGATAGTTTTTAATGGGCGTTGGTAGGCCAATAAATTCAATAGCCTGTCTGACAACATTGTTCATTCCTGATACACCATTATCAAAGTCTTCATATGTTAGTATTATCTTGCGTGGGTAGTTTTGCAATTCTTTCATACTAGATCTGTACCCATCCAATAGCTTAGTTCTGTAATCAAGAAAATCCTCCCATCTCAGAGGTACCTTCGTTATCTCGTTGGGTTTAATGCGGCTGTTGTATTGTCCTCTGGCAATGGCAGTTTGAAGTGACATAAACTGTTGAAGTAATTCACGGCGGTACATTACGATTATATTGGGATAGCCAAGGTGTTTCACTATATCCATTAATGTTATATTATTTGCGGCTAATTGCACATTGGTGATTTTAAAACCAGGAGTTACATTTGGATCGTCTTCTATATCTTCTTCTAGCATGTCTTTTATATAGTTCAATAAAATATGTTTCTCCGGTGGGATTTGATTATTAGAAGAAAGTCTTAGCTCATATGGCTTTTTATTCTCATGGAGGATAGCGTCATGGCATATGATATTTGGATGGTTATTCAGTAGCTCTTTAAAGACGGATGTCCCTGACCTCGGCATAGAGAGGATGAGGAAATAACGCCTGCGTTCTCCAGGGGTGTTTGTGACGTCAGGGGAACTGTATCCACCAGGCGGATTAGGATATGCTATATCATCATCGTTGTCATTCTCACTCTCATCTTCGTCACTGTCATCTTCATCTTCGTACTCTACAGTACTTATAAACATTGGGGATGTTTCCTGTTTATTCGGATATTTCTCCTGATCCTTGAATTTGCCGACATCAGGAAGGACGTCAGAAAGGACGTTATTTTCTTCCATAACACGATCTAGTCCTTCAAAACTTCGTACAGCATACTCTGAGGTATCTGAGATTGGTCGAGAAGGTTCCACTAATCTTGTGCTGATGTATGCCAAGATGCCAAATATAAAAATGATGACGAAACAATGGAGAGTCTTGAACCTTGGAATTCCTGTTCTGATCATTTTAACGCTTGTAATAGTTCCACCATGTGATTCGGAAATAGGTTAGATGTAATTGATATATTTGTATAGATAATACACGTTATTGTTGTTTTAATTACATGTCAACACCAATCTAGGCTTATTGTTTCAAAATTATTTGCGCATAAGTTCTGGCATGTTGTTTTTTAATGAAATATGGGACTGAACATAAAACAAATGAATTGGTATGCAATTTGTATGGAGTTCATTTACTTTCATCAGTTTAACGATCAAGTCTTGCCAGGAAACTACCAAATTACCAATTCAGTGAAAAAATAATTTATTGTTATTATAAAAGTAATCTATCTTGCCCATTGAAAGGGTCTGTTTTTCTTAGGTAGTATAAACAGAAAATTTCCAAACCAAATGCTTTCTCAATATAAAGTATATCTCCCTATTTCTAATTGCAATTTGAGGGAGCTGTTGACCATTTGTACTTTCACTTATGAAACTCGGACGATCAACATGAGTAATGGATGGTTTATGACAGCATTGTATTAACCAGCATAGAACGTACATGCGTATGTCAAAACACTTGGGGTTATAAAACTACCTTCATTCATACAGATTATCTCTCCTGAGTGCAAGCTACTGAAATGAATGCTAAGTATTTTTTCATCTGTAGTTTCTTAGGAATTGTTCCAGTTTTTATTTTCGCACGAACTCTGTTGTATCGGAATTTTAAAGGGCCGTATGGATATACATTTAACATATTTGGAAATGTTTATAATATATTTGATGGTCACATACACAATGGTGGATCAAGTTCTACGCTACCAGCAAGTTATCTTCATGCAAATATGAATAACACTGGAGTTATAGTGGCCAGGGCAGATATGACCCCAAATTCAACCGGATTGAAATATCATCGAACTGGATCTATCCATGGAAAGGATGCAATACAATTAGCAATTGATCGAGAAAAGATAATAGACTTATTTGGAATAAACGAATCGATGTATAGGAATATCAGTAGCGTGATAACAGAACAAGAGATGTTTGATCGACAGATGAGAATCCCGACACCGATCCTAGATATAGTATGACGCAAACTTCACTGGGGGGTATCGTGATGCAACAACACCGTGTTGTTGCATCAAGATGGCCAGACTTCCGGTGATAGATTTTCGTACGATGTTTTGTTTTCCCAATTTACACCCATTTCTAGGACGAGTTGCTCAATAATCATACACGTGCAGTTAGCGCATGATCTATATTTTAAAAAACTGTCATTTGTATACACGTAGCATCATCAAGAAGCGATAAATTCGTGGTTTTAATTCCTCACTATTGATGCAACAACACCACTCTGTTTTTTATCGATGATGCAACAACACCAATGTGCTGATGCAAAAACGCCAATATAATGTATCATTGAACAACAAGAGAAACTGTTTTATGTTCTGTTAACTGGTGTAGGTCGGGACATGAATAAAACGCGTGGGTCAGTGGTCCATGAACGAAACGTATTTTGTTTGGTTTCTTTGTCTATATCAAAGTTAAAAGGATATACAAGGCAAACTAAATAAAGTACAAAATCCCCGGGAGGCAATCTCATTGATATTGTATCTGAAAAATAAAGATTATACATTTTCTAAATTAAATGCCCTTGATTTACCGTATGGAAATTGCTTACAAATAACTAATATAATTTTGGAAAGACAACAGATATCAGTCATTTTGTGTTGTTAGTACCACAATTGAAATACTCAATTCTGATTGGTTGATGAGCGGGCAACAAAATGTATTGTTAGTACCTGAACTGAAATACTCAATTCTGATTGGGTGAGCGGGGCGGTCAAAATTATGTACTGTTGCCCGCTACTAGGTACTGTTGACCGCTACTTCTGAAAAAAAAGTTTCATGACGTCACAAAAAAAACATGGAAGACGGTCATTTTGTAAACGTTGATGAAAATGACTTTACTAGGCGACAAGTATAGCAAAAATACAAATAGAAACTTAAAATTAACATTAATTCACTAACGAGTACGCCGTGATGTGCCAAATACAGAGTTAAGCTACTTGCACTGTCTCCATATTTTTTTCTATGCTATTGCTAACGTGGTTCGGAGAAAAGGTTGTGAAATGAAGCCATGCCGATTGATGATTTTCGTCTATATGTGTATTATTAGTTTACTCGGACTAACAAAACAATTGTAGACCTCTCCATTCGATCAACCGTCAAAATCATATACCTACCTATATAACTACTTTAGACCTCGACTTTCGGTCTCTGTCAACAGTAGTTTTTCGGTTTGCAGTCTCGGTATACAATATACAATTGTTGACCTCTCCAGAGGTCAACCGGCAAAATTGTATACCGAGACTGTAAACCGAGAAACTACTGTTGACAGAGACCGAAGGTCGAGGTCAACAGTAGTTTCAAGGTTTACAGTCGAGGTATATGATTTTGACGGTTGACCGAATGGAGAGGTCTACAATTGTTTTGTTAGTCAGAAGAAACTAATAATACACATATAGACGACAGTCATCAACCATGGCTTCACTTCACAATCTTTTCTTCGAACCAAGCCAGCAATAATTTTTTAAGAACATTTGAAGACAGTGGTAGCTAGATTCTCTGTTTTCGGCACATAACTGCGAACTCACTACGTTTGTATTTGTATTTTTGCTATACTCGTCGTCTAGCAAAGTCAAAATATCACTTTCATCAACGTTTACAAAATGTCCGTCTACGCTTTTTTCTGGAAACATTGTGACGTCATATTCCCCATAATTCACAAGTGTAGTACAGTAACATACGCGGTCAATAATATGATATCCCATGATTCACAGGTGAGGTACAGGCAAAAATGTTGACCGCTAATTGACCTATCAGATGCGAGTATTTACACTGAGGTACTAACAATTTTGCCGGTTGACCTCTGGGGAGGTCAACAATTGTAAACTGTTGACCGCTACTAGGTACTGTTGACCCCTATTTTTGAAAAATTGTTTTTAATGTTGAAATTTTTTTAATTTTGAAAAATAAGTTGTGTAAAAAATTACAAGCATTTGACGGTTTGGGGATTTTTTGCTAAAATATGATACCTTTACTGTACTTATCAAATATGTTCACGTGATATTCGATTATATATTCGTCCAATTATTATATTATTTGGACTAACAGAACAATTGTTAACCTCTCTTTTCGGTCAACTGGCAAAAGTGCCCTCGACCTCTGGTCTTGATCAACAGTACTTTCAAGGTTTACAGTATCGGTATACAATTTTGCCAGTTGACCTTAAGAGAGGTCTACAATTGTATTATATCCTTCAAATTATTATATTCTTCGGACTAACAAACAATTGTTAACCTCTCTATTCGGTCAACTGGCCAAAGTGTATACCTCAACAGTAAACCCTGAGAGTACTGTTGACCTCGACCTCCGAACTTTCAAGGTTTACAGTATCGGTATACAATTTTGCCAGTTGACCTCAAGAGAGGTCTACAATTGTATATTGTATATCCTTTGTTATCCCACCCAAAGTATGATGTCATATATCAAGTTGAAGAGTTGTATACGCTGCTCAGGAGTTTACGCTATCCAGGAGTTGTACATCGTTCTCAAGAGTTGTATAGGATGAGTGTTGGTTTAATGATATTGCAGTTATACAATGCTATTATATAAAGGTTATTTACTGAGAGGGATTCAATATTGGTTTTATTCCGAGAGACAATATGATATTTCCCGAGGGCCCGGGATATCTGGGATAACTGTACCCCTATAAATTTACCTTTTTAGGCCCTAAATCTTATCACTTTTGTTTACCTTTTTACTCAGTCGGAGAGAAGGAATCCAAAGAGAGCAATAACGCTACAGGTAGTTTATCACTGTTCCACAGATGGATGATAGATAATTTCCAATAGCTCATCATGTTTACCGAGAACGAAAGATGTTTGTCCACCATTTTGAATGATACTGACTGGAGTCAGGGTCATCAAGCCATGGAACACAGTGGTTTATGAAAATAGATTGGGTTACTAAAGTTTGCCATGTTAAAGGCGATTGAACTATGTTATAGAACAACGTCCAGTACATTATAATATTTAAAAGTATAAATTTGTGAAAATACATATAAAGGATCTTCGCCCGCAGACGTGTATTTTGAATGCCTTGAGAAGAACGCAAATATGGGTAATGGGTAACGGTGTTGCAATAGTAGCATTTAAAAATCTGTTCCTCTCGAGATTTATGGTCTTCTGAAATGATACTATTAATTGGTGTTGCTGCATCATTGCTCAAATCTAGAGGAGTGTTGTTGCATCTTCGGTCTGGTGTTGTTGCATCAATAGTGAGGAACTAAAACCGTGAACTAATTGCTTCTTGGTGATGGTACATGTATACTAATGACAGTTTCTTTAAATATAGATCGTGCGCTAACTGCACGTGTATTGTTATTGAGCAACTCGTCCTAGAAAGGGGTTTAATTGGGGAAACAAAATATCGTACGAAAATCTATCACCGGAAGTCTGGCCATCTTGATGCAACAACACGGTGTTGTTGCATCACGATACTCCCCAGTGAACTTGTTTCACTAAATATTTTTATACGTTTTTTTGTTATCAATAGTGAGTTAAGCTTGCAGTATTTTTCATAACCTAAACACGAACGGAAAATATTTAAGCGATATTTGTATGGGCGAATGATCATACGTATAGTTTGTCGTTTCGATTTTACATGCTAGCTAAACTCCCTATTGATGATAAATCTTGTACATATACTATATTATATCTACAGTATATCTATGTATACAATTTCCTTACCTGAAGTGCTTTCTTTTCCTCTCCCAACCTTTGCAGAATCCCCCAAGTGAATTCCTGCAGGAGTCGAAGAATCCCTGCTGGATAGGGAATATTTTCGAGAGCGATACAAACCCCTGCACTGAAGACAATGGTCTGTGTAAATTGTACAAAAAACTATTTAACCAAACAACTAACATACAAACAAATCGTCTAAAAACTCGCAGTCCATGGAAACTAAGATGTATACCATATTTTTACCTCATAGGCTTTCCAAAGTGTGGAACCACCGACCTTGCAGCTAGGATTTCACATCATCCGCAAATATTAGGTAGATTCAAAGAATTCCATTTCTGGTCAAAACTAAGGAAGGATACGCAGGGAGGTTTGATTGACACCTTTAAACCGTATGTTGATATGTTTGATATGATTGCCGAAAACATTCGGAACGACATCAAGCTTCGCAGTCATTCCGATGCCATCACAGGTGAGCACATTCTAAAATGCGATGAATACACAACAAAACCCGGGGTGTCTAATGACTGTTATGAATATATGTTTATTTGTGATTTTAATAAATAGCTAAACAAGTCATAGCTTTAATTTCATGTTTGTTATTCTCTCCGCATTCCATCATTAATTTTATTTATTTGAAGGCGATAATTCCCCATCAACTGTCTTCTTCTACAATGGGGAATATGATGGAAATGGCCCCGTCATCATAAATGCCGATATCATGAAACACATAAGCCCATCAACGACGAAATATATTTGTATATTAAGAGACCCAGTAGAAAGGTAAGCGGTAATTAAAAATGTTAATGTTAATCTTAAATAACATAGTAATTTTAGTACTAATCAAGAGTCTTAACTCAACTTAGTGTTGTATGTTTGTTTTAGATCTCTGTCCGAGTACTACTACTGGCACAACGAAGAAGGTGCAATAAAGTCCAATATGAATCACAGTCAGTATTATCATGTGATGGTCCAAGATGGAATCAGGCGATTTGAGGAGTGTGCTTCAAATAATCCTCTCAGATATTGTGTTTATTTGCTTTCCAGAAAAGGATTTGGGCGTGGTGCCATGGTATATATTTTTTCAATTTTACAAACATTGTATCGTGTATTGGTTATTTTCATTACATCACCAATTGAATTTTCTTATCTACCTGAAAAATATAAAATGATTATACTCTCCTCGAAGATAATGAGACCTTGATGGTCTACTAAAACAGTACGATTCGAGTAACTTTCACAATTGGTCAAATGTTCCCATACTACATTGGGAACAAAGTAAGCTGTCATGTAAACATTCTATTTCTAGTTTCGTGTTGCACTTGGAATTTATCACGTGTTTTTGGATGATTGGATCAAAGTGGTTGGAAAGGACGCCTTACTGGTTCTTAAGATGGAAGACTTAAGGACGAACCTGACAGGAGTTATGACATCAGTATTTGACCACTTGGATGTCAAACCACGCTTAGGTAGGGAGAACATATACGACGATATTTTATCGAAAGCGTATGCATGTTTAGCTCATTTTTTGAGTGGTCGTAGCCCCACTCCATTACCCCAAGGACACCTATAGACGTCCTCGATTGCCCATTTAAGCAAACGACTATCATCGATCAAAGTATTAAGCATGTTAAACCTTGAAAGAGAGATTTTTGGAAGACCATCCTGTTATATGTTATGTTGACTATACTGTTGAATTATGTGGTTCAAGGAATGCTTGTTAACTCGTTATATTTTATCATTTCAGAAAACCTTGAAGAGGAATACACACGAAAAATATTAAGTAATGAAAAACAAAACGTACAAACTAATAGACAAGACATGCTCCAAGCAACACGAGTGTTACTACAGAAATTCTACAATGGACATAATAAAATATTAAGATATGTCTTGGATAACGAAAAATATAATTGGGGTTATTGATTCAGACATTGAAAGTTGTGATGTTTATCTATAAACTATATTACCATAACCTTTATTTGGTTGATCGAGATACTATTCATCATTAATTTATATTACCATTTGATAGCAACTTGCATGTAATAAGTTTAAATGTGTTTGCTTCCTCATTCTTTTGAATTCCTTTTAGTATCAACGAACTCCTAATCGATGTCTTTTTATCATGCCACCATTGTGAAATATAGGAGTTCAGAGATTGGATCCATTGCTATAGTGATTTCTAGACATACAGTGGGCATAGGAGTTGAAGGGGATTTTTTTGATGTTGCGTAAAGAAACCTATCCAGTCCATGTTAAATATTCAAATCAAGGAGTATCCTATAATCAGAAATGTTGGATTTTTTAGAAATGCACATTACATGGCATGGAACGATAGAAGTAAAAATTAAGTAATATTTCGAAAGATTTTCGAAACTTATCCTCCATCAATCTTTTATGCCTTCATTTAACAATGAAAAAATTCAGAACCAACTGAGCCCTGGAACATTCATAAACTAGTTGTACTACTTTTATTTGGCAACTACCTCGATCTCCTGTCCCTCGGGTACCCTCCAATACACAGTCGTCGAAGAACGGCGAAAATCAATTGCATTGTTTACTTTATATAAATATGATGCAGGCAAACCTATAATGCTAATATATGGCGACTGGCGATTTTTAGTAACTTAAAGTGAAAGCTGTAAATGTTTTTTTGGAATCACTAAAAACTTTACCGCTAGATATTTGGTAATAAGAAATGCAGATTATAAAATACTTTTAATAGTATCTCTGGGTTGGTTCAATGTTCTCGGCTTACTAAAAATACATTATTCCCTGGTTCAAAACCGCTAGACGGACAATCCGTTACCCCAAAAGTGAAATAATTGCAATTGTGTTTCAAAGAAAACTTCATTGCGTGAACCCCAGCAAACTAATTACATTCAAAGTTCGATAAAACATGTTTTTAATTAATTTCATGGTTTGAATCACCACCGTTTGATTTGACTTTTATTTGAACACAAAACCTTTAATAGGCCGAATGTCAAACTGTCGCAGATAGTTATCTCGTTCAAACAACACACATGGCTGCTTACAAGATGAATCCATATTGTTCCCCAATTTAATCCACAATGCTGTAATTATGATTCCTCGGGTTATATCTACAGTTTGGGATAAATTCATAATATTAATCGTACTATCAATCGTTTTGGCGATGCTTTCATTTTCATATACATCATCCTTATTCGATATACACTATATATCTCGACGCTTCTCGATACGAAATGTGACTAGTAGTGAACAGGTATCTACAACAGAAACCTGTGGAAAAGTGAGGTTCTCAGAATGGCCGTTACCCCTGACGGCGCTTGCGAGTTATCCCGGCTCTGGCAACACATGGACGCGGTATATACTCCAGCAGGCAACAGGTATGTCGAATCTTGCAAAACATAGGGGCAATATATTTGTCAAAATGTTGGAATATGGCGCTTACTTGCTGTATTGATCGAAAGGTGACTGTTGCAACTGATATTTGCTGACTGAAAAAAGGTCCGGTCACAACGCCCTCTCGCGGTAGAATTAAGGATACAAAAGTATATAAGCATTATTATATCCAAGGTCAAGGTCACATTTCAAGAAAAAAATTAGTTTGTGTGTTCATATCGATCGACTCACTAATTTATAGGAAACTTGTTACACGTTTTCATTATTTTACTTTGAAATTTATTAACCAAATCGAAACAATATTTACATAATATACTGTATGGTAGTAACAGATAAACAGGACAAATTGATTATAGATTTTATAACTCCTAAGTTTCCATATTTCAAACTTGTGTCTTAGGGCAAGTTTACAAATTTCATGAATTCTTCTATTCTACCGCATCATGCGCCATGTGTATTGAGATCAACGACGCTATTGTGCTTTCAACCGAACTGTTTACCATGACCATGCAATGTATATTGAAAATATTGCTTATTATTTCTTTAAAACTGATTTCTAACTGGTTAATACAATATGTTTCCCACCATCTCTCAAAAGGGTTTGTTTGATATGTCGTACCCATTAAAAACTAACACGTTTTATAATGTCCATATGTTTTGTATCCTCCAACACATATTCAATTTACTATAACAATCATTTAAACACTACATTGGATCAGTCTAATTTCTGAAAATAATTGTTTGAAATAATTTACGTGCATTGATTAAATCTTAATGTTTGGAGGATACAAAATATTGGACAGAAGAACCTAAATCTAAATGACTTTGAAATAGCGCACATCAAATGTACCTGGTATCAACCTGGTAAAACAACTGATTTTGAAAATATTAATTATCGTAAAATTGCCCCTAAACACTAGCTGCTTTCTATTGTATTTATTCTCAAAGTCTCCTCCATTGTTGTAAAATAAAAAATTTGTTCGGAAAAAATTTAATTTTGAGCATTAACATATTCTTTGCATTTGTTTTACAATTGACAAATAAATAACTTTCTACTTCAATATTACATAATTTACTACACTTTGTCATCAGTGTGTTCAAGTTAAGCCGATGAGAGATGAGTTGTAGTTTACTGTAATTTACTGAGGTCTACATATATATCTTATATCAGTTCATCTTACACATTCGCATAAATCAATAACATTGTTTTCAAAGTAATTGTTTTTTTCTATAATGGAGATATACTTTTTGTTCTTGAAGGCATCTACACTGGGTCGGTTTACAGCAATGACGATGAGCTGAGACTTAACGGCTTTCCCGGAGAGGGAGTTACAAACGGGTCTGTTCTGGTAATTAAGACACATCGTGCTCTTTTATCACATAGAAAGTACGACAGGATAGTGATGATCATCAGAAGTCCATTCCAAGCGTATTTGACTGACTTTAACAGACGCAGGGGTCATGGGCATACCGCTATTGTGGAATTGACAGAAGGTTATTGTGACCAGCTTGTTTTGCATGTCTATATCTGGTTTTGCACTTGAATAGTTTTTATGATGTCGTAAAATATCATTCAATTAATTGATTTAATGTGCATGTTGGCACTAAACGTTATATCTATTAGTGTATCTGTTTATTGACGTAAGGTTATTAGGTGAGGTGCGAGAATAGTGTTTGTTAATATAGAGCTATTTTCATAAACTAGTGTAACTGATATCGATCAGTAAAACTAAGAGTTCAAAGGTAACCAAGATGAAGACCTAAAATACTTACAACAGAGCATCCGAAAAGTCATATTAAAATTGAGATTAAATTGAAATATGATATAATTTCTCATGTTTAGGATGGTCTGGGTATGTGCGGCGACAACTTGATACTTGGCGTGCGTTTTACGTCAACTGGATGTCTTACGCTAGGGTACCTTTTCACATGATCTTCTACGAGAAACTACGAGAAAATGTGAGATCAGAATTAACCTCACTTTTAGATTTCCTTGAATTTCCAATACACGAGGATAGAATTGAATGTCTCATGGAAAGGACAGAAGGAAATTTTAAACGACAAAGTGTGAATAGTGATCGTAGAGACATCTATTCATCAAATGTAACTAAGATTTTACGTGAACACGTTGCAGAAGTCTGTAAGCAATACACAGAGAAGTATCCTAATAGACACAAACTCGGTGATTGTATTTCTTGGTTATCATTATGAACATCTGATAAAACAATGAAATTACATTACCAGTTTGTTCACATCCGATTTAGTTACATTTTGATGTTATATTGATGTCATCTTCAACTGTAGCTTCTAAATGAGCTTTATCGCCCGCTTTATCGTAGATGTTAACATTATTTGATAAATTAATACTTTTGATATTCTCATTTTCAATCGAAATTATTCTTTAAATCGATATACAGTAGCTCATTAGTTAGATAGGTTCAGTCAACGCCCCTTTTAACAATTATTGGTTTAATTAATTATTGAAGATTTGGACAATTGTTCTAGGAAAATAGGTTGAACAGATGTGACATAAATTCCAATAACTATTTACGGACTTGTGAGTAGCATTCGAAAATGCATTTTTATATGTCTAGTCAAAAACAATTTGTGCATTATGTCTCGTAAAATAAAACAACTTGTTGCGATTGGAGCTGTTATCTGGTGGCCATTTGTATTCGTATTATATTATGCGTCTTTTAGTATCGTGCATGAAGAAAGTACACCCAAGGACATTGCTCGTACATGTGGCCCAACAGTAATACCTAATGTGAGAACTGAAACCTTCGAGGAACTTGTTAAAGACACGTTCTTTGCCTTTTCGGCATTTCGGGACATGCGCATTGTTGACGATAGCAGGAATATGAAACAGTTGATTGACGCGCATGCGCAGTTCGCCGACTCAGAAGGTCAAGTCGGAGTTGTACGACTTATTGGAGTAGCTTCACGGGATATACCTGATTTGTATTGCAGACTTTCCGATAAAAGCGGAAATGGATATAGCGTTCCTGCAAGACATCACGCTATGAGCAGAGTGTTAGTTGAGACGATGTATAGAGAATGTACCTATTTTCCATATTTCGTTGACTGTCCACTTTATGAATCACACAAAGACCACGTGGTAGATGTAGTTGGCATAACTGATAAGATGTGTGGAGAGGTCGACACGTGGTTACCCGTCACTCAAACGTTCTTTGACAATATGCCCGACACTTCCCATAGTGTCATCATTTGTATGAAAACTCTTTTTGGACTGATAAATCCATCGCGATTAATTGAGTTTCTAGAATTCAGTAAAATATTAGGCGTCGAGAAAGTAGTTATCTATGGAGTTTATGATATTGGGCTCGATGTCCGTGATGTATTAGATGGATACATAAAAGAAGGGTTCATCACAATCATAGACTGGAGACTTCCATTCGACCCCAATCTTACACACTTCTTTGGTGAAAAAGCAGCTATTAATGATTGTTTATACAGGTACGGCCCACAGTACAAGTATATGTTATTTTCCGATTTTGACGAGTATTTCATTCCAAGATCCCACAATACTTTGTATGAACTATTTGAATCGATCGAAGACACCTTTCAAAATCCGTACCATCCAATTGGTGCATTTAGGTTCCTTCAGACTCGATTTTGCATTGATTCCCCAGAGCCTTCCAACGATAACACTCACCTTGTCACAATGAGCAACACAATGCGTGATGATCCTAGCATCATAGCTGCAAAATGTGTCGTAATCCCTAAAAACGTTGTTGAGATGGACGTCCACACACCAAGACAACAAGTGTCCATCAACCACAAACGTCAGATTGTCCCCGTAGACATGGCACAGATGCATCACTATAGATACCGTGATAAGGAGGAGGAGTACTGCAAGACTGATGATAAAGGTGTGATGCGATTTAACAAAGCACTAAAGCAGAAGTACAAAGAAGCATCTGATAGGTTCAAGGCCCATACATGGCCCGATAAATTATTTGCTAAGGCATTTCGACCTGTATGTAAACAGCCTGTTGAGAATATGACGGGCTCTACTGACGATTACTTTTCACGTCTGAATGGGGCAAAAAATTAAGTTCTTAAAGATGAGAGATTTCCTCTCGCCCATTTTGCCTCAACTAGGTGTTGAAAACAAACAATTTGAAGACGCTGGCGAAGATTCTCTTACCGACTGACGCTCGCCCGTTTTAAGACGCTGAGTTCAAAACAGAAAGATCTTTCCTAGGTACCCTCAAAGAACCAGTACCCTAGTTCTAGACACTATCGTTACAAATGAATTGTTTTCACAAAACACACGAATTTGTTAATTCATTATAGTTTTAACATTAGGTAACTAATCAACATTACAACCATGTTTTGCGATACCATACACACGGAGATATTATTTATTTTGTAATCCGTTGATACAAGCGATGGAACGCGATCGTTAGCAGGCAGAAACATGGAATTGATGCAACGTTGATGATATTAGTTCTCGCGTCACTGTGGCTGTAAAAGACATGTATGATGAGCAATTTAATTTGTATTTGCCAAAAGCCATATATAAGTTAAATTAAATGCAATATAAATGTGATAGTTAATTACAGTAATGTACAGAAAATCGACTCTATGACAAGAGTGTTCTTCCTTCCAGGTATGGCGTCAAATTATAACTCATTTACTGATCAACTGATCTGATTTTCTGTTCTCATCATATCACATCTGAGTGACAAAACATTGAATGTATATTACTAATGATAATATCATCCTCTATGCTTCCGTTCAATTCGAAATGATCACAATTTATGACATACTTTGTAATCACTAATATATGAGCGACACGAAATGGCTTCAGTTGCCAAAACATTAAGTTCCAATGAAGTTTAATTTAGATATTTTATTAATTTTTTAACAGACGTAAGATTTTAGGCTTCTTATGGGCAATCTTCACTGATTTCTATCAATATTTTTTCTAGGTCACCTCGTTTTTCGTGTTATTGCGCTGAAGATTTCTAATATCCAATAGTGTTGGCCGTAGCCAGGCACGAGGCTGGAGAGGCAACTACCCCGGCCATCAAAATGTTTACTGCCTCGTTAAGAATTCTTACTAAAACTGAAAATAAAGTCCACGGTAGTACCAACTACACCACTAAGATATAAACAAAAGTTCCCCGAATTTGAAATACAAAAAAACTCATGTAGTTCCCTAATCTGATACCCAACTTCCAAATATTGAATTGTCTTTCGCTGGCCAAAAACGCCACAACTTTTTTATTATACCAAATTTTGATGTCACACAGTGCAAGTGGTTCTGGTCATAAAATAAGTCCTCCTTCTTTGATTGTATCTGTTCTAAAAAAGATGTATTCAATTTTTCTGCCGTGCACTCTTTGATGGTAGCGTTTAGTTTTCGTCGCCATGTCGAAATGGTGGCATCAATGAAATGTTTGCTTAGTTTCAAGCAACTTCCCGAATTACCAGTTGTGGTGATTGTATAATATGTACATCTATTGAAGACCGATGCATAACGATGCATACGTTAATACAGAGGATTGCATTAGGACTATTAGCGGGCCGAGTTCAGGGACAAATTCTCGAACAATATGATGGTATTGGCTGCCCCATGGGCAGATGGTTACTATCCTGTTAAAAGATTGTTGAGCGTTTATGATAATGATACACTTCAAGTTTTACTTGAGAGTTAGTTTAATATTGTGTAATGGAGTTTTTCACAAATACTAAAGCAAGGCTGCTTGGCGTTGGCCTGTTAATTTCTACGGTGACCGTGGAAATAACAAGTTATAACATCTACGGCGACCCTGTGGCTTGTAAAAACTGGATACGCCCTAAGGAGACCGTACGGCGACTGTACATTTTCGACAGTTGCCGTAGATTACCGATTTTACCGATGTACGGTCGCCGTAGAGCAAATGTGACTGAGGTTATACTACGATCACCGTATAAGTTAAACATGTCATAGCCGAACCGTAGAAAGGTTCCACGTACCTGTATGTCGGGCGCATGGTCGACTTGCGGCTACCCTAGGATTTTATCGGTTACAATTTACCTTTGCAAACCGCAATTACTACCGTAGGATCACTGCTGGGGACCCTTGCTGCCACCTTACGTCTACATAGATATTTGTCAAAAAATTAACCCCGTTGTGGGGACGTCCTATGATGACCGTGTGTTATTATTTCAAAGACCCTACGACAACCGTAGTTTTTCTGCCTCCATAAAATCAAAATAAGCCGTTCAACTACCGTAGCTGATATGACTGCTAAATTATCTAATGACAAAAGTTTCCTGATAGTCGTAGAATTTCTAATAAAGGTGAAGACATGAACGAAATATAGGCTAAATAAGCAGTTTCATCAAACTAATTTTCACGTCTATGTTCTCGATGTTTTGCTGAATGGACTTTTATGAACGAACTAGCATCGTCATATCACCGAACACCACCCCTTTTACGAAGGTGTGGAGAAAGACGAAATAATACTACAAACCTATTATGTTCGAGTTCTGGAGATTCTGAATTTACGGTCTTTTAAAATTCAGTTAAAATAATGTATTGTTACGGGTTGCCATGGAACTAACCATATGTCGTACTGAACTTAATACGTCAATAAAATCATTCGTAGAATGTTAAAGTTCAAAATCAAATGAATTTGATTCTAGGTCAAAGGATAGGCATCGATATGGTGAACTGAATTAAACAATGTTTTTCTCTTCAACCAATTATTGAAAACATTCTGTAAAAAACACGGTCCTTTATGTAATGTTGACTGATTGGCAACTATTTAATGCGAAAATTATTTATATACATGTATGTCTAATATAACTTTTTTTGTTAAAGGCCCCATGTAAAGTTTAAACCACTTTGGCTTATATTGTAGTCTTACCCAATGTTATCAAAGTGTGATATGTGAAACTTTTTTTTTTAATTTCAAAAAGTGGTTTTTGATAGACTTTTTGTTCCAAAATTTGTGAATTTATTTGAACCAACTTTTAGAGGTCACTCATATCTTCTAATTAGCCACAATTCATACCAATGCATAGCATTCATCCTCCCATGTTTTTTGCCGAAAATATTAAGAAAATCGGTTGATAAACAAGCGAGAAATGAACTTATCAGTGCATGAAAATGATTCTGAGAAAAATGCAGTTCAAAATTTTAGTTCTGATAGAAACCAATGGTACAATGCTATCTAAAACATAATTTATTCTTCCTTTTAACCTGGTTAGACAATCAACATTGTTTTTTTATGAAAGTCTAGTAGATTTAGAAAAGATTGACATCGAAAAAAAAAATTCAATTTTTTTCAAAACATTTTTGTTACCTTAGTGACATCACTAATGTTTCAAAATATTTTTGATAAGCTAAAACATTGAAGTGGCCCATTAAATATGACATTTTATTATTGAAATAGTGTGTCTTTTGTTCAATCTTTGCATTGGTGTTTAAAAGATAATCTTTTTTGAAATGCATTAAGAAATATTTGATGATTAAGAAATTTCAACTTTTTTTGAAAAATGGTGGGAAATTTGAATATTTGAGAAATGAAATGCTCACAACTTTTTTTTCAAAAAAATTTTTTTGTTCAAAAATCTCTAAAATCACTTTTTAAGTCCTGACAAATAGTAAATGAATGATAAAAAAATATTTTCAAACTTTAAACGGGGACTTTAACATTTTTTGTTTTTTAGCGCAATTGTTTTTGTTCCTTTCTACCAATTCTTGAGAATGAAATAAAATGTCTTTCCGAACCTTGTTGGAACAAAATAGCAAATGCAACATTTTCTTAGACCTCTCAATATTATAGTTATACAAAGGAAATTTTGGTTGATTTAACAAAACGTATGCAAAAACTTAAAAAAACAAAATAGATGAAAATTATGATAAACCTTTTATTTCATTAACAAGTTACTTTTTTAAAATCAACCAAACTTTCCTTTGTACAATTTCAATATTGAGAGACATAAACACGTTATGTTTATGTCGTTTTGTTCCAATGTCGAGGTTCGGATAGATGTTTCATTCCGAATAGAACATATGATACCAAGAACGAAAGAAGTATCTGATGTGTTTTCTAAAACAATATAGAGAAAAGTATATACCATATATAACTCAAATTATAATGTTACCATCCAAAAGGTGACCATTAAATTGACGATGTGTAAGATTTTCAGAATGTTTTGATGACTGATTTAAGAGAAACGCGTGTTTAAAAAGTAAATTAAATTGAAATTAAAAAAATGATATAAGATATCAGATAAAAAAGGGGAACATCCATACAGGATTGTTTTATCACGTTTAAACATTTTAAGTCATGCGAAATGGTACGAACGAAAAAACATCAGGCGAATTAAATAAAGTTGGAACCCTTGGGTAATGGACAGATATGCCAAGGAGTGCTCGGAGCAGACAATATGTAAAATAAAAACACCGAGATCTTTATTCCAACTCTTCCTTTAATACTATAAGTTATTGAATAATTTGAAGTGCAATACTGGATGTATTCTGCTCGAGAAATTCTGTATTGGAACGAGACGAAGTCGAGCGCCAATACAGAATATCGAGAGCAGTATATATCCCGTATTGCACTTCAAAGCATTACGAGTTGTTACGAGTTGTCGAATGGATTTCTTTTGTTCCCCGCTTAGAAAACAGTCTTTCAAACAAATATGGGGGTTAACATGTAAACCTATGAGGTCCTTAACTTTTTTTGAGGAGTATATATATGTTCTCGTACAACTTCTCTTAATCTATTAAGCGTGTAAGCCTTTCTATTATATAGAGCGTTTATGACCCGTGAACCACCGTCCCTGGTATAAGATATAAAATAGGAGCTAGTGATATGCGTGTGCGTTTAACAGAAAAAACTATTTTTTACAAATAGTTGTATTATTCATTATTATAACATACCTATGATGATGTATAGTGCAAAGTGTACACAAGACAGCGGGCCAATATAAGTTTTGAAAAGCCCGCGCCCGCTAACTTTCTGATTGGTCAAGGCACTGACGTCATAACCAATCAATCGAAGATAAAACTGCGCGAGCAATTTTTCTAAACTCATTTCAATCATTTTCAAACCATTTGTTTGTCAATTCTATAAGAAAATGGTGCTCTCTGACCAGTCTACATCATCATAGATATGTTATAAATCGTTTATGTCACTATCGTGGCACATATGCCCTCGGTTCTCAGAGATCAATGTCCCTCCCAAGGTCGGGCCATATATCACTGAGACCTCGGGCATATATGCCACGATAGTGACATAACCTCTAATTATTATATACCCAATATGTAACACTAATCCTGATTGGTCAATACCTAGTCACGTGTTCCGAAATAGATTTACTATTTCCCTCGGAAAGTTATATTCCCTCAAATGTGACGTCAGCGGGAATATACATTTGAACTATTGCCCGCTGACGTCACGATTGCAACTTCTATTACCCTTGGAAACGTCTGCGCATCATCACTGCGCAGACGGCGCAGACGAAAAACAGAAAAATGGAGGATGAGCACAAACACAAATCAACTCCGTTCACCATGACAGACGTGCGTGAACGATACAATATAAGCAAGGTGGATAAAGTTCCCTAAACTCAATACGTCTGTGTAATTTCAAGTGTTATGATAATCTATTCCGCGTGTTAAACGCGATTGAATTTGTCAAGTGAGAGTCTCAGAGGCAAACATTTCTGTTGAGCATCTGATGACGTCACAGCTTGTAATGCTAACAATGGACCCGAGGAGGGGGCTTTCTAAGCCTTTTTGGCCTCCGCAGAGGAAACGGGACAAGAGTCAGTATAGGGTATATAGTCACTATTTGTATACTATTAATTAACCCACAGTTTTATAGGTTATGAATCAATAGTTCATGTATCGTACTACGCTCTTCCAATTTCCAGAAAATTATTATATGGATCAGAATGAAATATATGTCAGGAATCGCGGTCTACTTTAGACAATTTGTGTTTATGTTAATGCTGTTTATGTTTCTTTATTTTCACCCATATTAAGTAGAGCATCAAAGGAAACAATCAAAGAGTGTAAAGTACAGAAATGAATAAACGCATTTACAAAAATATTACTACGTGTTTTAAAAATAAAAGTACCTAAAGCATAAATCTTAACCGGATTCTTGTATGTTGTATTTTCGAAGAACCTCATTATGTCATATAGGGGCAAAATTACGATAATTGGTATTGTCAAATATTTTCAATTTCTGATATTCTACCAAAGCCTGTGCCATGTGTATTTAATAATGTCAACGACATTTAATTTGTGTCAACACAACTGGTTACTATGACCATATGTTATACACTGAAAATGTTGCTTATTATTTCTTAATAACAGCTTTATTGATGATTTTTTAGACAAAAATTTAATAAATGTATCACGTGCTTCGATTACCAATTTGTTAATAAAGTATGTTTGCAACCAGCTCTCAAAAGAGGATTGTTTTATATTTCATACTCATGAAACAGAATACGTTTTATTATGTCCATATGACTTGTATCCTCCAACACACTGGTTAAAGTAACGTTGTTGATATGTCGTTGATGCATAATTTGTTGAAAACTTCGCCAGAAAGTGCCCTTAGGGGCTAGCTTTTAATTTTTTTTAAATGTTTTGCTGTTCAATTTTTTGTACACGTATCTTTCAAACATGATTAAGATTTCAGCTTTGCACAAATACGATTTCAAATAATTATTTTGAGAAATGAAAATAACCCAATGTAGTATTTCGATGATTGTAAAGCAACGGAATCTAGTACTGCCATCTTTTATTCAGCTTTTAATTTGGGCTAGAGTTCCATTCACTTACATGCTAAAATCTTGGAAAAGTGGAAAATTTCATGCAGGGTTGCCGTAGAAATTATAACTCCGAGTTATACTAGTTGTTCATTTCTGCCGTCCCCGTAGAAATCAACAGGCCATTGCCAGACCGCAGAAAGGTCCAACGGTTGCCGCACGTCGGGCTTACGGTTGACTTGCGTCTGCTGTAGACATTGATGGGTAGTGAACAGGGGGGGAGATTTCCCAAAGATGCCCTATCATATTAGCACGTTCGAAAACAAATTTTATAAACAGGCCTCAATTTGCCGTTGAAATGGATCTCCAAATGTTCACTGTAGTTTTATGAGTATTCTCTACAAGTATGGATCGAGTAACTATAATAGTATTACCGTAGGTTTGAAATGATGATGTTGAACTGATGTTAACGCCATTCCCACGATTTCAAATTTAACTCTGCGCATGCGCAGCACTGAGAGAGCACGTGCTCATGATTGTTCACGTGATCGAATCCTGCAATTTGATTGGAGATGATGCAAGAGATGATGTAATGGGGAATCCCCGAATACGATAGAATATGAAAGAATTGTGGGAGCTACTCACTCCTCCTGGGTAGTGAACCTCTGGAAACAGTTTTAGGGTCAGTTTCGGTCATATTTTTGCTGTAAACACAACACAATACGTATACTGTTTGTTGTTAGGTCACTGATTCCACTGCAACTTATATTTCACTAACACTTTTTAGCACTACAAATGGCATTAATGTTTTGTACTGATGTAAATAAAACAAAAACAAGCATTAACGTTTATCAACAGAAATGCAAAACTCGCCGTGCAGCTGCCGTAGGAAATGTGACTGCAAAGGTATCCGACCGCAGAAATTCTACGGCGAGCGTAGAAATGTTACTGACCGCAGAAATGATAGACCGTGTGGTCGCCGTGGGAAATGTGACTGGGCTGTTATCGTAAATTTTGCCATACATACTAGTGCTACATATGATTATAAATTGAAACACGATTCATATCTTAAAATTAAAAAGCTTTCGCTCGGGAATTTTTCTATTTGGGAAAATGACAATTGGAATGCTATCTCTCCTAATCCTGAACAGATACATTTATACTTGTAGGCAGTGAATCATGTCTCAAAAATAGATGAAAATGCAGAAAACATTTCAATCGACTGTGTTTGATATTATTTATATCAGAATATTTTATGATCGAGAAGAATACCCACCTGCCAAATTGTGCAGTCAATACTGATAAAAAGTAGTGATACACAGTAGTTTACCTATGGGATAAACAGCTTCATCATGGCATTTCCTGTTCTACCCCACCCCCCATCCTTAAGTGCAAGATGCTCAATATTTAACAAAATTAATAAACAACATTTATAGTTATAGTTTATTTTTTCGCGAATGCAACTTCGGCTGTTGGCTTCCGGATTAACCAATTATCCTGTGAGCAATGTACATTTAATTATGAATATTACTTACCAAAAATTGAAGCGGACCCTACGTGTATAAAAATGAATGAATTTTAAAAAAGTTTTGGGCGAAAACTCGTTTTTGGGCCTGCTTTTGTCATATTGACACTCTTGGGACCTCAGGCTAAAAAACAGTTTTTATAAGCTCACACGATGTTATATTTATTGATGCCCCCAAGGATCACGGGTAATATTTTTGAGAAGTCTTTAAATACTATTAAAAAATGTAAACCCCTAGGGACATCCTTAATATTTGAGCTGAGTATGTACAACGTAGGTATAGATCATGTTAGTATGACCAACAATTCCTTGTCCAAGCAAAATATTCAATAAAATTTGGAAACATCTATCCTTTTAACAAATAATGTACATCTTAAATGTCAACTTCTTTGCTACACAAAATTGTTTTATTCTTAGATAATGTTATTTGAAAATTATATTATTCAAAAATGTGTTGTTCTTATATATTATTGATCATTACCTATTTAAAAATATATTATTTTTGTCTTATCAATTGTCTTGTCGAGTGTGAACTGTTGTATCGCTGCATTGTCTAATCCACGTGCTGGAATCATCTTTAATATTACATCAACGTGATTGGTTTACCGACTGCCAGTTATATCCGACCCGCTATCACAATTTTGATTAACTTTATATAAATCTAGACGATATGTAAAATAAAGTATAATTAATCTGTAAGTTGTACAGATGCGCTAAGCGTTGATTACAGACCGCTCCGAACGACAGGAAATAATACCAACCCATATTCTTGTTCTTTAAGTCTAGTTTGGCGAGGATCTAAAAGCAAAGGTGAGCATTCATTTTATTTTGTTTTTACATTCATGATATATTTATATATATGATCACTTATTTCTTTGGAATGAGAAATCTCTATCCAGAACAGAAATGTTTGTTTTGATAGAACATTAATATAATTATTTAAACTATTAATTCAGTAACTTGACTAGGCTCTGTATAAAAATTGATTGATTAATTAGTTAGTAACCCGCTTTTCTCAAATATGTTCAATCAAGAAAATAGTATTTTACAATACGCCATTTTTGGTTGCGTTTAACAAGATTCTGGAACTTGCGACTGAAAGTTGTAAAAGATAATTTGACAATAATATAATTAATGTTAAACGTTGCCCAGACTGATTTTACTGTTTAATTGCTGTTTAAAATTGGAAAATGTTCAGTATTTTGATTTCAGATTGTCTGACATATCAGTATTATTTAGTTTACTAAGACATAATACTTTTTTACTACAATTGGGACATGAATTCTTGAACGGGGAATTAAATGCTAAAATTAATACGTATAATGACTTTATCATTCTAAAATCGATAAAAATTAACATCAATTGAAATATAAGAATAGATTGCTCCGTAGTTTCGTAAACTATGTATACGTTTAAAGACTTATTGGTATTTTCCATTAAGCTTACAAGCATGTGCTAAATGTCTTAAAAACAATTGAATAAAATATAAAAAGAAATAAAAAGTGAAGTTTTGTTCATAGATCGTCTGTTGAGAATGCACAAAATAGTTCCCCGAATGTGAGAGCATGTAACTGCTCATGTGTTTATTATATAAAGATATTTTCGTAATAAGTAAATTATGAACGTTTCATTATCTTCCGGAAATAATACCCAGTCTTGTCATTTCCAAAATTAGAAGTTTAATATATAGCCGATGAGTCACTTTAAAGTGGAATCTATTTTAAATTAAAGACTGGATGCGAATCGAAATAACCTTGATTTACAATATTTAAAGCTCAAAATTCATTCAAAGTGATATCATATTTGAAACCTTCATGTAAAAATACATCTAGAAATGTGGTTTATCAAGTGTTTATTAAAGTATTTATATAATTATCAATTTTGCAAATTTAATTTTCGTTGAAAATGTTTCTTCTAGGTCGGGGAGATTCTTCATTGATCCCATGTTGTTATATAACAAAAAGTGAAATATCTTTTGTTGTATTGGACAGATGATATTTTCTTTTAACTGGGCACATTTTACTTTGTAGTTATGTATAACTACCAGATACATAAGTGTAATATGAAAATTGAACCACTAATTAAAACTGATAAATATCTAAGTTATCATTATCTGATATTTAAAGGAATTTGTTTCATGAAAAGAAAATGAACAATCATATTTATCAACAATTTGAAATCTCTCTTCGTAATAAGAACGACTGAACAGTAAAAATACGCTAAATCTGAAGTTGTATTTTTAGTATACAAATAGTGACTGCCATTGAGGGAAATAGTACAAAATATTTTTCCCAAAGGAACGAATATCCTGTCCACTGATCACATGTTCCCGAGACTGCAGGCCGAGGGAACAGGGAACAGGGAAATTATTACACTATTTCCCGAAAATGTGGCAGTCACTATTTGTTGTTGCCTTTTTGCTCCTATAATCTCACCTATATAAAAGAATATAAAATGTATTAATGACTGGTCACATGATCTAACTGGTGATTAGTACATTTCATCGTCCCTGATATCAGGGATTTAGAACTTTCCTGGGAATTAGTTCATCTATTTCATATCACGTGACCATGAATAAGCCAATGAGCATCTAGAATACATATGAGATATATAATTATAACAACTGTTACACTATATAAAATCAGGAATTGCTCTCAAATAAGCTAGTTCATTCCTCTGATTTGTCACTTCATAAATATGAAGAGTATAAGAAACGACGAATGCATCTGTAATATATACTAAAACGAGTCCCCATAGTACGCTGGTAAATTAATTACTTCATATCATCTATTATTTCTGTTATTCATTCAATAGGCATGGTTTTGGTGATATTTTATGGCTTTTCCAAGGTAGTTAAAGGAGGATTTTTTCATCATTTTACCGTAATGAAAATCCGATCACAGCAAAATTTATTACGGCATGTGACTGTGGCAAAACAATGATATTTCAAAAAATATAAATTACTGTTTTCACAAACCAGAAAATTTGATTAAAAATGTCAACAATCGCTTGAATATGCCTTGATGGTTAAAGCAGCACGTCGATGTCATTTAATTCTATTAAACCGAATCAAATGAGCGCTGAGTGATCGTTAATTATGAGTATCTGTTCTGTAAAACACCTGATGTTAGTGTTAATTAAACTAAAATATTTATTATGACAGCATCGAACCTTGTAGCTACTGCGAAATCCTATGCCGAATTAATAGATTAACAAAACCGGCATTGTATTATATTAATTGATCGAGTGATTTTAAGCTTTCCATCAAAGAGTTTTTATTAGGCCAATTACTAGTAGAATTCCGCAATTTAATTCATGATTAATGATAATAAATATTCTCTTGATTGTTAATGCACGAATACTGATTATAACAACATTATCATGGGTTAGTCAGTAGAAAAACGTTTTCATCTATTCTTGAATTTATTTTGAAATTTTGCCGCATCTCCAAACAGTATATTCCTTAAATTATACGTCATATCACTGGAACGTTGCAATTGTGTTTATCAGATCATGCGCGTAAATCAAACGGTAACAATATACGTAATTGTGAATGGATAGAACGTAATTATCTCAAACAACACTTGTAAACCGCACTGCCAAGCCTGTTGTAGAATGGGAATATACTTTGGCATAGGGTGTCTTTATTAAGTTACAAATTAAAATTAATAAGTATGATCAGACGCTAGGTAATAACGTTTATTAGAGATTCATTTACAATATTTTCTTCGCCACAAGCTCGTTTAGAAACAAGAGTAATCATTTCCTTCCTTTTCGAATTAATGGCGAATGCTCTGTGAAAATATTACAGAAAACACGTCATCTACTATTGTTTTTGCAAAGATAAACTGAGACGCAACCCTAAAAATTTAACACACGACCAGTATGTAACTGGTATGCTAAAGGTATTACCTTAATACGATAGACCTAAAAATGAATAGTAAACACAAAACTGAAAATCTAAAATAATTAATACTCTAAAAAGGATTAATAGATTTATTTTTTGATTTTACATTTCATTTGTAACAGAACCTACCGTGCGTGCAGAGTCTAGTTAAACTACAAGAAGACGAATCTCTCTTTTAAGAAGTGAAGTCAAACGAATGCAAATGGTGAACAGAACCTCTCGATAATGATATAATAATATATAATATCAATAACATACAGTGTATATTTATACATATCATTCTGTATATGATAGTCTTGACCCCTGATTTTTACGACCAACCAATTTCAATTTCTTTTTTGATATTTTGAACTGAACAATTGGATATTTTATACTTGACCGAGCTTTTCCTTGATGGTAAATGGGAAACTAAACATTTGTAGTTGTTTTAATTTATCGTACTACCACAAAGGAACAAATGAATAAGTTATTAAATACTATAAAACATGCAACAGTTAGCACTGAACAATCTACTGCATTTTAGCAATGACTTCTTTGCCGACTGTCGTATCTCCATTGCAAGCAAGTGGAATTGGCCGCGAGTTACTCTTGGACGAGTACATGCTGGGGAGAAGACGACAGGTTAGAACCGTTTATATTTCTTGCTCAGATTTAATTTTATAAACCCCACTCAGGTAGAAACGCAATAGAATGAAAGTTGTATTTTATTTTTAAGAATGTCCAGCTATAACAAAGAGGAGCGCATTATTTTTCTATTGTTTTTTAAGAATGTATACTTGGCAAGCTATCCAAAACCAGTCTGGCACAAAAGATGATTGACTGTCATGTGCAGTGCACTAAGCTGAACTAATTATACCCTATTCACTCTTTCAATAGTTGAATAGTAAACACAAAAGGGATCAAACTTTAAACTGTTAACCCTGTTACATACAGTGCACTGAATCTGAACCATTAGACCCACTTCTCAATACGCTTACCTCATAGTCAATACAAAAGAAATAGATTTTTCATGATCATGGACCATTTACCTTTAATAAGACTCAGTGCCCACTGTGTGGTTTAAGTTAGATAAACCATTCGTTTTGGGTCTTAGGAGTAAATAATGGCCTTGCGCCCCCCTCTGGCCATTATTTTACGTAATACCCAAGACCCATCGTTTATACATAACATAAACTATCAGCAATCACAGGGCAATACTTTCAGAATTTACCACTATGTGCAAGAACAATTATATTGCCAATCTATATCATAATCCATGGCTAGATAGCATCCTCATGTTTCATTTGGTATGCAAATTATGATTTTGTATCAAAAATTAAAAAGGTTATAGCATTTTGAAGAAAGTGGCGTTTTTTGGCCCACCCTGTATATATTTGATCCAAAAACAAAGCCGGAAGGATTCCGGAATCTCAAGATTTTTAGCCATCTAGTTTGAAAATACGTACAGTTTAGACGGTACGCTTTAGTCTGACTTCATTATTTGTCTATTTCTCTGATCAATCCTTTTATTTCAGAGACGAAATAGAACAACATTCACTCCGCATCAACTCGCATCCCTCGAGGAACTATTTTCTAGGACGCATTACCCTGATATATTCGTCCGCGAGGAACTTGCAAATGAAGTTAACTTAACAGAGGCAAGGGTTCAGGTACCAGTAATTTTAGTCTTACTACAATTCATTGGCGGTTGATAACTAATTGCATAGTGAATTGTAATATGTGAACAAACGTATCGAGTTCAGGATTTATATTTGATTAATATAAGTGTCTGTTTCGCTAAAACAAATTAAGTTACTTATTAAGTGATCATGTTTAGAAATCTAATAACATTTCTTTTATTACAATTTGTAACAGCCATATGTATGCATATACAGGGTAGGCCAAACAAATGTTCCTGAAATGGGACAAATACTCTTTGGGGTTTCTAGATAGACTGGTTCAACATCAAGCCAGCAGCTTCAATGAAATAGTATTAACCTGAGTCTAAAAACAGTTTTTTTTATATGTGGGCTCACTCAAACACCCGACTGATCATCTAATTAAATCACATTTACGATCTCAGAATCTTTCTCTGTACGGGCACATTTTCCCAAATCGCCTTTTTCTTGAATCAGTTTTTGTCCATCGTACTCTTCGTCTCACATGCTTTTAAAATTTCGTTTGGTCTGAAAATAATTTCAGAATATACTGAATAACCCATCCTATTTGTTTCTTTAACGGACTGAATAATATATCTGGTACTGGTATTTTATATGTTGTATTGAAAATTATACTGACAGCTGTATAATTTGACCCATAGTGTCTGTCAACCTTTCTTATTCAGAAACCGCAAAAGACTCATTTATACCATTTCAGGAACAATTGTAAAAGTAATTTTACATCCCCTGTAAATCATGTTACATTCAAATAAAAAATGTAGACGTTTTGGGGCCACCCCGTACGACTGAAAGTGCCGGTGCGTTTGTTCTCGACAATCTTAGTAGATTAAAATATTGAGCACTCCCCGCGAGTTTATCATACCAGAAGAGTTGAAAATGCAGGCAGAATCTTTTTGCTGAACACATGTGCTAGCATCATATGCTATGAAAATCTGAGCGTTGTCGAACAAATAACACATGGGACGCCAGGATCATGTATATTTATAATACCTCATCTTCACAGAAGAAGTGAGTAGCTCCCACAATTCTTTCATAGTCTATCGTATTCGGGGATTCCCCATTACGTCATCTCCCGCATCATCTCCAATCAAATTGCAGGATGTGATCACGTGAACAATCATGAACACGTGCTTTTGAAATCATTGGAATGGCGTTAACATCAGTTCAACATCATCATTTCAAACCGACGGTAATACTATTGAAGTTACTCGATCCATACTTGTAGAAAATACTCATAAAACTACAGCGAACATTTGGAGATCCATTTCAATGGTAAATGGAACCTGTTAATAAAATTTGTTATCGAACGTGCCAATACGAAAGGTCATTTTTGGGAAATCCCCCCCCTCTGTCTTCTACACTAACTAACATCTACACTATCAACCGGTTCGTTTACGTCACAATTATAGTGAGAAGTTTTTTTGACCATTTTGGTTCGTTTTAGTTACCGAAATGGACCCTTTTCCATAACGAAGTGGAGGTGGGATAATTCAGGGAGGGACTTAAAGAAAACAGAAGTTTCCTTTACAGAATAAAGACACAGATGTATTCATTTAGCATGTCATGTTATTTTATACCAACTTATGTATTAATGGGTATCACTCTTGGAGGTTGATCCAATTTATTCATTATTTCCAATTTCAAATAAATCTAATTTTAAAGGTATGGTTCCAAAATAGACGGGCAAAATGGCGTAAGGATGTCCGCCTGAGGTATAACCGTGACACATGGAGGTCTCGCCCCTTATCACTATCTCCAGTCTCAAATCCATGGGCATCAACAGCCGCGCCCTCTATAGCTAGCAGCCAAGGCTTGGGTACAACAGCCTCTGCTGAGATGATGTATACAGAAACAATGAGAGTGGCCCAGTCTTGCTTCAGAGAAAGGTGCGCATTGTGACCGTTCATCAGTATTCATTTGTAATCCAAAGAACGTTTTTTAACTCTTTTTAAAACTTAAAACATATAAAACAAACAACTTATCAAAATATATTGCATTAAAATTATTTCTTCAACTTAACATTCAATTCACAATTTTAAGTAGAATGCGCCAACACTACACTGGCAACCAGTAGCTTGGGTTATTTGGATATAAAACCGCATACGATTATACTACAAATGGAAGTCTCTAAAACAGGATTTTTCAATGTTATTGATATTCATTTCAGTTTTTCAGCAGCGGCTGCATTTCACCACCGTGCTACCCATCCTTGTCTGCCTCTGTGTACCTGTGCAATCGGCTTAGCAGCGAGGCCTGGTGTAGCATGCACCAGCCATTGTGCTGCACACTCGACACCCAGTGTACCAACCGCGGCAGATTTCCCGGCAAAGCCAGGCACTAAAAGACCACCATTGAGCATGCACCCATGGGTACCCTTACTTGGTCCCCGGAATAACGACAAAGTTAATTCATATGACGACGATGATGTTACGGAAGATGAAAGCCCAAATCTAACATCATCGGCGGCAACCAGAGACACTCCGAGTCCCAAATAGAATATCTGATACTACCGAATGAGAAAATGTATTTGTTGTGCCATCTTTTAAAAATGGTCGTTTACAATTAATTATTTGAACGTTTTAATAACATGTATATATATGTGTGTGTGATGAACTATAGTATATATGTATATGTAAGATCAAACTTTATAAATAAAAATATATATATTATATAACATATCGGTGTTCTTCTGTGATCGAATAATAGAAGATCAATAATATAGAGGTTATTTACTGGGAGGGATTCAATATGGGATTTATTCCGACGGACATGTGATAAATGAGATGTGATATATATAACTGTCTTAATGAAATCATTAGTTCAAAATCCATATCTGATTTTTGTATGAAACAAAACCAGACTATATATTTAGCCTAAAAATTATGACTTAACTTTATGACATTTTGAAATATAAACTTTTACTGTATAACATAATCACATCAACATAAAAAAAATCAACAATACATATATCGGGTGTCTCAAAAAAATGTACCCAAAAGTAAATCAAGAGCACAGATAAAACAATCAATATTTTCACACATTTTTTGCATGGTCATGTAGCTAAAACATTAAAATTTTCTCCCCAATACACCATTTTTAATTCAGTCTTTTCTTTATGATGCTTTAACCCTTTACCTTTTACACCACATAATCGATGTAACCTCATATTTCGATGACAGCCTGTATCCTTACTGCTACATTGTTCATCACATTTGATAATAATTCAGGTGGAATATTTTGGATTTCTCTTTGAATGTTGCCCTTAAGTTGTTCTAGGTCTTTTTGCTTGGAATGAGCATTAAAACATTCCTGCAAATAGCCACAGAGAAAGATGTTTGAGGATGACAATGGCAGAACAAATGCAGATAATCAGGTCAATTATCGGCAAATGATTCAGGAGTTACCTTTCAGAGTTAGGCAGGCTAAGCTGGAGACCAAATGATATCCAAATGAAAACACAGTGGTCTCAAATTTATACACACAACAAAAGCTACACTAGAATCCCAACCAATGCAGTGTCTTGTACCTCTGACCTCCCTGTATAAGGGGGCTATAAGACATTGTGAGAGCCTCCCTATTCACCATATTTGACGGCCCATACTTTTTTCTCTGAGGCTATTTGAAGGACCATTTTTATGCTAAACCCAAGCTAAGAGACCTAGAACAACTTAAGACCAGCATCCGAACAGAAATCAAAACATTCCACAAGAAATATCAAATGTGGTGAACAATGTAGTAGTAAGGATGCAGACTGTCATCGAAATATGAGGTTACATTGAATATGTGGGGTAAAAAGTAACGGGTTAAAGTATCAAAAAGGCAAAACTGAATTAAAAACTGTGTATAGGGGAAAAAACTTTCATCTTTTATCTACAAGACCATGCAAAAAATGTCTGAAAATATTGATTGGTTTGTCTATGGTGTTGATATACTTTTGGGTACATTTTTTTGAGACACCCTATACATGTTCATCACAGGGCATTATCTTATTGCTCTCATTGCCCAGATTTCTATGACGTTGACTGTCTGTGTAAGCACGATGATGAAATTACAATTCGCCCATAGTTCAAAATCTCTTCTCAATTTTTATTTGGAAAATATCGTTTCTCACATGAGAATATCATTATAGCACGCTACGTACAGTATATCGACCCAACTGAACGAAATAGGAAGCTTTATTCGGCAAAATTCCCGGGAGGTGAATACTATTTTCGTGAGGGGGATTGAGAGGTGAATACCATTTTTCTGAGAAGGATTGAGAGGTGAATACTATTTTCGTGAGGGGGATTGAGAGGTGAATACCATTTTTCTGAGAGGGATTGAGAGGTGAATACTATTTTCGTGAGGGGGATTGAGAGGTGAATACCATTTTTCTGAGAGGGATTGAGAGGTGAATACTATTTTCGTGAGGGGAATTGAGAGGTTAATACCATCTTCCTGAGGGGGATTGAGAGGTGAATACTATTTTCGTGAGGGGGATTGAGAGGTGAATACCATTTTAGTGAAGGGGATTGAGAGGTGAATACCATTTTTCTGAGAGGGATTGGGAGGTGAATACTATTTTCGTGAGGGGAATTGAGAGGTAAATACCATCTTCCTGAGGGGGATTGAAAGGTGAATACTATTTTCGTGAGGGGGATTGAGGGGTGAATACCATTTTAGTGAAGGGGATTGAAAGGTGAATACCATTTTTCTGAGAGGGATTGAGAGGTGAATACTATTTTCGTGAGGGGGATTGAGAGGTGAATACCATTTTCCTGAGGGGGATTGAGAGGTGAATACTATTTTCGTGAGGGGGATTGAGAGGTGAATACTATTTTCGTGAGGGGGATTGAGAGGTAAATACCATTTTCCTGAGGGGGATTGAGAGGTGAATACTATTTTCGTGAGGGGGATTGAGAGGTGAATACCATTTACGTGAGCGGGATATTGATTGGGTGGGACAATAATTTTTTTATATCAAAAATAGTCACCGGGAAGTAGTAATTTGGGATTAAACTTGCTTAATATATTCCTAGGGAATAGAGTATTGAATAAATATTCTCATTGATTTATTCCAATAGATACCTAGCAACAGTGGTTACCATGGCAATGGTTGCTAGGGGTCCGTCGAGCAGCTAAAAATGACAAGAAATCAAGAAACTTTTTACCATGTAACCATACCTATCTTGTATATGTGACATTTTATATGTCTTTGGCTGAAATAATCATGAATTCTAAAGTCGATGTTAACAAAATACAATTAAATCAAGGGAATACCAGTATTAGAAACCTACAGGGGCCTAAAGGAGGTGTATGGACGAGATAATGTGAAGCCTTCAACGATGTTGGTATCCTGCCTTTTGAAATAATGGAAGCCACACAGTTTTTGATGCTTCTGGTCGCAAACCTGAAATACTGCTCCCAGCAAAGGGGGTTGTACAACTCATGGGCGCATGGCGCAATGGATAACGCGTCTGTCTACGGAACAGAAGATTCCAGGTTCGAGTCCTGGTGCGCTCGGTTTAGTTTAATCCATCATTTTTGGCCTCAGGTGCAAGAATATACAAATGCACATGAGCAGTGCAGGCCTCCTAGGCTTCCATCAACGCGAACATCAATTCTGACGTCGCGAACAACGTTCCTTGCACTCAAACCACGATTCTCACATCGTGAACGTAAAATCTTTTGTCGCGCACCACTATTTCCTCGCTCCCGAACATATTTCTCAACTCACGCACAGAGATCCGTACTCGCGAACCACTTTGTGCGTCAGAACTGATGTCCGCCATGATGGAAGTCTAGGAGGCCTGAAGTGGAAAATGGCTGCTTTATCTGTTTATTGCGTCAGTAAAACCTAACAAATAAGTATTCAAGAGATAACAATGTCGTAATATATTGAAAAATATGGTCATAGTTTACAGGAATGTCATCTGTGAATAATAACGGGTTATACTCTGTCTATTTAGCAGCAAATAATAATGACCGCGACGATAGATCTGTTCGCTTCTTCAACCGAGCGGCCTTATGTTATGGGTTATGGATTAACTACGAGTACTGGGTTTTAGAAGAAATAATAGCCTTGGCCGAGGCTATCAGTTCTCGTAAACTAATATCCCACACTGACTTTTATAAAAGTTAAATGGCCCATGATAGATCCAATTTTAGGAAAATTTGATTTCTTTTGTAAACAGGTTGTTCCTTTACAACTAAAATGCCGAGTTAACTTGTATTCGCGAATTCAACTGTCGGTTGACGGATTAACCTACTACAGCACTGTTCCACAACTTGTTACTTTGACGGAACGTCAATGTAACAAAATGGATGAACTTTCTGGATACGAGTTTTTTTGTTTTCTCGATTTAAACTTACGTATAAGTCATGTTGCGGATTATCATTTGGCACAAAGTTAGACAATATAGTCTAGCTATTTGAAATACTCTCGGTTTGTAATTTGATTTTTAAATAAAGCTGTAATTCATGCATTTAGACCATCGCTTTTGTTACATTGATGTAGGTCGTCAAAGTAACATACATTGGTAACATAACTGAGTTTCGTCAATGTAACAAAAGCGAGGGGGTAAATATATAAATTGCAACTTCATTTACAAAGCAAATTACAAATCGAAGACACTTAAATTAAAACTAGACTATATTTTCTAGCTTTGTGACAAATTATAATCTGCAGCTTGACTTAAGGAGGTTTAAATCGAGAAAAGAGAAAACTCGTAAAGAGGAAGTTCATTTTGTTACATTGACGTTCCGTCAAAGTATCTAGTTGTGGAACAGTGTCGAGGGTGGGCCTTCAAAAGAGGTCATTTATACAAGTCAAGATACACCAAAAATGTTTAGATAATGGGGAAAATATTGAATATTCAATGATAGTATATATATGAAGAGATCAAATAATGTTACGGTACTAATCCTTATGCTGTTGTAGTACATAATTTGATGTAATATTTAGAGGTTATGTCACTATGACGTGAAATATTTAGAGGTTATGTCACTATGACGTGAAATATGCCTGAGTTCTCCCAATATAGGCCGACCTTGGGAGGCTCTATATTTGGGCAAGAACGAAGGCATATTTCACGTCATAGTGACATAACTGATGTATTACATGCCTTTGTTCCCATGGTTACTTTGTATCAATGACGTGACGTCATGATATTATCATGGTTATTAAAGAAATCTAATATCAAAACGAGGTAAGCGGGCTATATCGGGGTAATCGGGCAATATCGGTGGATATAGCTCGCTAACTTTCCCATTGACGTCCATACAAATGCTTCGCTAGGTATGTAATACAGGAATAAATAGATGAATGCCAGGATGCTATGAGCAGGAAAGAGATTTGTAAAACACATTTGTGACGTTGCTCCACATACCCTTGACTCCCGTTACCATAACGACCATAACCTTTTCATTTTAAAACTAAAAGCCATGACTGTTGCAGGATATATTGCTAAAATGTCATTCTACATTCTGGAGCAATTTCATCTCATAACATGTAGAT